AAGTACCTTATTTTTGCATAGAACATACTCAGTATTAGAATAAACCGAATAGGCATAGTAAATATTACTTTCAGTGCACATTGTTTATCCCAGACAGTTGTAATTTTGGTATGTTAAACTTAAATATGTCTGTTTTGATAACAAATACTAAAATTGATATATCTTTTGACAAAAAGTTGAGATATCAACCATATTCTTACAAAAGTACTTTATTTTTTCATAGAACATATTCAGAATTAGAGCAAACCGGAAGGGCATAGTAAATATTACTCTCAGTGCACATTATTCATCCTAGATTTTTGTAATTTTGATATATTGTACTTAAATATGTCTATTTTGATAACAAATACTAAAATCAATATGTTTTCTCACAAAACTTTGAGGTATTCGTAATTATGTGAGACAAGAATCTTGTTCAGAACTTCTGGGTAAATTTCGCTAAGTGAAGAAGTATCATTTCTTTTGTAGTTGCTATTTTTGTTTAATTTTATAAAGGAAGATTTTGAAAAGTGTCTCAGGGATGTATTTGACTTATGATATAATAATTCATATATTTTTTTATTTTGTTTATTGATTTATATTATTTATAATATTGTGGCAATATCCAAATTGAACTAGGATTAAGACTTTGATGTGGTCAGTGATATCGGTTTGATTCTGATTTTTATTTTTAGAGTTAGTTGCAGGGATTTTTTTTGCCCTGAAGATTGTTGCTCACATATTTCAACTAACAAACAAACAAATATATAAAAATTATATAAATAAGAGCACACAATACTCTTCATTCAACATTTATAAGTTAGACGTTTCAAAATGTGATTTAAGTCATCATCAGTGAAAAATTAACTAAAAATATTAACTCATATTATAAATGAATGATGGGAAAATATGTTCAATTATAAATGGTACCAGATTGATCTTACCAGCCTGGTACTTTTTTCACATAATTACAAAAATCTCAAGTTTTTGTGAGAAGACACATCGATTTTAATATTTGTTATCATATTTGAAATATAAGAACAACATTTTGGCTTATTGTGATACTGCATATGTTCTATATGAAGAATAAGATACTTTTCTAAGATTATTGTTGAAATCTCAAAAATTTGTTAAAAAACATATCAATTTTAGTATTTGTTATCATAGTAGACATATTCAACTGCAATATATTAAATTTGCAACATTTTAGAATGAATAGACATATTTTTAAAATTTATTTGAACATGGTTTTAACAAATTATCCAATTTAGGTCTGAGACGTTGTGGCACGTATCTCATGTAATTATAAATATCTCAAACTTTTGTGAGAAGACACATCAATTTTAGCATTTGTTATCATAGCAAACATATTCAACTATAATTTATGGAAATTGCAATAATCTAGAAGGAATAGAAATAGTTTTAACAATTATGTGAACATATTTTTCACAATTTATCAATTTTCTTCCAAAGACATTGAGGTACTTATCTCATACACTTATAATTAGTAATATCTCAAACTTTTGTGAGAAAACAAATTGATTTTAGTATTTGTTGTCACAGTAAACATATTCAACTATAATTTATGGAAATTACAATATTCTACAATCAATAGAAATATTTTTATTTATTATGTGAACATGTTTTTCACAATTTATTAATTTTTTGTCTAAGATGTTGAGGTACTTTTAGTAATATCTCAAACTTTTATGAGAAAACATATTGATTTTAGTATTTGCTGGCATAATAGACATATCTAGGAAAGAAATATTGAAACTATTAGGTTGTAATACAAATAGTATGTCCTGAAGAGCTCTTTTACTGTTATAAAGTCATCTTGATATTTTAAAGAGCTTTGATTAGTGAAACACTAAGTACCTTTTCAAGAAATTTGTTAATTTTTCAAGATTTTGTATAAAGGCACATCAATTTTAGTATTTGTTGTCATAATAGACATATTGAAGTACAACATGTTACAATTATAGCATTGTAGAACAATCCGTGTGCTCTAGGGGTAATATTTAGTTTGCTTTTACTATTTAACCAACTATTGAGTATGTTATGTAAGAAAAATGATTAACTTTTGTAAGAAAATTGTTAATATCTCCACATTTTGCAATAGGAAATATCAATTTTAGTATTTGTTGTCATAGTAGACATATTAAACTATAATATGTTAAGTTGAAATAGTTTTTTTTAAATCTCATAATGTTGCATTTTGAATCAAATACTTCTAAAGGATGTTTTGCTGAAGATTGCCTTATTAAACTTTAACAATTAGGCAATAAATAAACGAAATGATAATAATTTTCTTGATATTTCTAGACCATGTTTGACCAATATTGTTTGAAAACTAAAAGGAATGACAATGCTATTTTCCTAGCACCAGAACTTGTTTCAAAAATTGCATCAACATCTCTTACACCAAAATGCTTTCAAAATTCCAAAATCTGTCATAGTTTGATTAAATTTGTTTCTGACTTTCTTATAAATCAAGAGCTATGGTTTCTTAGTCAAATTTCTTCAAATTATTCATAAGGAATGACAATGTTCCACCAGAACCAGAACTTGTTCCAAAAATTGCATCAAAATTTCTTACACCAAAATGATTCCTACAATTCCAAAATCTACCAAAGTTTGATTAAATTTTCAGTCTGTCTTTCATATAAATAATGAGCTATGGTTCCTTAGTCAAAGTTTCTTCAAATTATTCATAAGGAATGACAATGTTCTACCAGATCTACCAGAACCAGAACTTGTTCCAAAAATTACATGAACATTCCTGATACCAAAATGCTTCCTACAATTCCAAAATCTATCATAGTTTGATTAAATTTTTAGTCTGTCTTCCATATAAATAATGAGCTATGGTTCCTTAGTCAAAATTTCTTCAAATTATTTATAAGGAATGACAATGTTCCACCTGAACCAGAACTTGTTCCAAAAATTACATCAACATTCCTTACACCAAAATGCTTCCTACAATTCCAAAATCTATCATAGTTTGATTAAATCATGAGCTATGGGTTCTTTGTCAAAGTTTCTTAAAATCACCCAAAGTTGTAATGTGTCCCAATGGCCAAAAAAGTTTGACCCACATTTATATATATACATATTTCTTCTTCCCCAGCAACTGGTCCAATTCGTCTCTTCACCCCTACAAGCGCAGAAGAAGACAACTCCAAGATTTAGACAATGAACTAAGACTGAAAGTCAGAAGAGATGGTTCAGCTGATGAGAGTGAATTAGACCAGATCAATTCAGTTGTAACGGTTACCACAAAAGATGAAGCTTGGCAGAGTCTGGCTGATGGAATTGACAGTTCTGGAGGAGCCAATGATTACCAGATGATCACACCTGATGGAAGCAATTTAGGAACACAAAATGGTAAGGGGGGTAATGGATTGAAGTAGTTGCTTTTAAGGAGAAGTTTATGTTGGCCAGAAAATCTGATTTGCCACTTACATCTATTTCTAGTTTTAAATGACATGCAGAAATTAAAAGAAATTAGTGGACAAATGATGAAGATGTACCATGATTTTCGAAGATACTACTCTGATGTTAGAGACATCATGTCAAGACATCTAGAAAGGCTACAGAGGGAAAAAGACCACATTGCAATGGCACGAATGGGGCATCCACCACATGAAGATGACCCAAACGTCCGTGTTGGAGGAGAAGCTTTACAACCAAATATAGAATCAAATGTTAAAAAAGTATGTATAAAAATTTAAAGCTCAATTTTTACCAATTCTTATTACCCCTATGTCTTCTATTCCAGTGTGCAAATTGCAACAGGGACGCCCTGGCAGAGTGTTCCCTGTGCCGTAGGACACCTTACTGTTCCACATTTTGCCAAAGAAAAGACTGGGGGGCCCACCAAGTTGAATGTGTTCGAGGTGTCCATGCACAACAGCAACAACAACCACATGAACAGGAACAGGCACATGAATCACAAGGACATGATCCAACAACACAGCAACAGGGGGGCCAGCAGCAGCAGTCAATTATGTTGATTGTGGAAAGCGATCAGTAGAGGGAAATGGATGGAGGAAAAGGTTTAAGATATTTTTATATGAAATATGTTTATTGGTTTTCATGTTTTTTGAGGATAAGTGTGAGCTGGGGGATTTTGGATACAAATTATAAGCCCAGTGTAGTATATATAGTAGGAGTGAATTGGAGATATTTTTTATAAATTATGTACAGTAAAAGCTTTTTATTCAAAATTGAATTACTAAAAAGGAAAAACAGTTATAAATACAGTTTTTTGTTTTTTTTAGATCTAATAAATTGATATCACTTGCATATTACTGTTTGAAAATTCTCTATTGGCAAGTTGCTATGTATATATATATATATATATATATATATATATATATTTTAAAACACAGAATTTTTTATGCATTTATCTACAATATAAACAAATGCAATATTCATATTCTTTTAAGTTTATATTTTATTTTTTCATAATTATTTTCTTTTTTTTTCATTTTTATTTATTTATATATTTAATCCCTTCCTTTTTTTATTTTTAACATTTTTCTTCTATTAGCAATTTGCATTTTAAAATAATATTTGTAAATATCAGTGGCTTCCAACCATCTTGAACCGCCCCCCACTTTGGAAAAACTGTTTGCGCCTGCCTTAATTTTTTTCACTTTTTAATTTCATAAACACTGAACTGATATTATAATTTAATTATACAGTAGAAAATTAATATACAATATTATGTAAAAATATAAATTGAAAAATTATATATTGATTTTTTTTTTTTGTCATTTCAACAATTTTCAAAAAAAAGTATTTTGAAAACAACTTTGCGCTCTACAGATTGGAAACCACAATTATGTTGTTAGAAGAATTTGCAAATTAAAAGAAATCACATTTAAGAAAATCTCTTATAGATAAAGATTCATATTTAAGGGCCAATTTTCTGATAAAATAGAAATGTTCTAGTAACGCTACGTTACGGGTCCATATTTGTATTAGTTGGTACTAACAAACTGTCAAAAAGCTATTTATTTGCTGTGTGATCAGGCGTTTTACACATAAAACCTAACCTACAAAACGTCAAATAACAATCATAAGTGCATCTTTGTGATGTTTCATTGATAACACATACTTGAAGTAAGGTTTTATGTATAAAACGTCTGATCAAATAGCAAATACATAGAATTTTGACAGTTTTCAATACTATTTTGTATGAATGAAAAGGCATAACATGGCATTGCCATAACAACGCTGTGTTACTGTCCATTTTATCGGAAAATTGGGCCCTTAATTTCATAAATAACTTTATTGATATTATAATTTAATTATCAGACTACAAATTAATATGCAAAAATATAATATTTATTCCTTCATTTTTTTATATCATTTTAAATTTTTTGGTTTATTTTAGAAAATAGTAGTCAATTCGATTGCTTTTACAAAGGAATACTGGGTTGGATACCTTTTGAGATCCTTTTATTCTGTGTGTTTATTAGATCAGGAAATAAAGACATTTTTAGCAAATGAAGCATGAATAAAGAGCTTTTACTGTCACATTTAAAAAATTGCCATTAAAATTATCTACTAGATTTTTTTACCAGTTGCTGTAGGAGTCCTGAATTATTATGAATTTTTACTATATATAATAAAATTACCTCAGCTTTCATTTATCAATTTACAATGTACTTTTATGAGTACATTAGTTTAAACTTTCATTAATTTAACATAGTTTTGACAAATGAGAATCTAAATGATTTGTTGAATAGTTAATTTATAAATTACACATTGACGTCCAAAGAAAATTTCAATAACTAAACTGTGTGTATATATGTATAGAAAGAAAAATTAAAAGAATCATATTATGTGAAGTTTTACTTGAAACAATGTTTTTTATGATCTTAAGTTTTAATTAATGGACTTATTTATATAAATATATTTTTAAATAATACTTATTATTATGTTAGTCAAATGTAACGAGACATTTGTAATATATATTTATGAATATATGTATGTATACATATATAATATAAATGTTTCGATGCTTGTGTTGATAATTTTAATATTTTTAATTCTTTGTATATAATTATATATAAATAGTTGACGCTAATAAAGTATTTTGTATTAACAAATGATACTTTCATTTAGGCAAACTGAAGAATTAAAACCTGAAACAACCAGTGTAAGTGGCATTTTGCCTTGCAAGTTGCATCAACTTCCAGATATGTGTAAATAATAACTTTAATCCAGAAATATTTGATTTTATGTCATCTGTCTGTCTAACAGTATGTACTAGTGTCTGCCTGTCTAAGAAACTATCTGTCTAAGTTTCAACTTGCATACTTTTTTACATGTCTACTTTTCTATCTATTTACCTGTCTACTAGCCAACTTGTCCACTTTTCTGCCTGTCTATCTGTCAACCTCCCTATTTTTCTACTTGTCTAGTTGTCTAACTGTCCATCAGTTTACCTGACTACTTGTCTACTTTTCTGCTTATCTATCTGTCAACCTGTCTATTTTTTACTTGTCTAGTTGCCCAACTGTTCCCCAGTTTACCTGATTACTTTTCTACTTATTTAGTTGCGTACTAGTCAACCTGCCTACTTGTCTACTTTTCTGTCTATCTCTCTGTCAATTTTTCTACTTGTCTATTCGTCTAAACGTCCACCAGTTTATGTGACTACTTTGCTACCTATTTACTTGTCTACTTTTCTGCTTATCTATCTGTCAACATGTCTATCTACTTGTTTACTTATCTAACTGTCCACCAGTTTACCAGACTAGTTTTTTTAATTATTTATCTGTCTACTAGTTGACCAGCCTACTTGTCTACTTTTCTGCCTATCTATCTGTCAACCTGTATATTTTTTATTTTTTATCTGTTAACCTGTCTATCTACTTGTTTACTTAATTGTCCATCAGTTTACCTGATTACTTTTCTACCTATTTACCTGTCAACTAGTCAACCTGCCTATTTGTCTACTTTTCTGGATGTCTATCTGTCAACCTGTCTATTTTTCAACTTGTCTACTTGTCTAACTGTCTACCAGTTCACCTGTCTACCTGTCTGCCTCTCATCTGGGCATCAATATTTCTTTATGTATGAATGATATGAATTGATAATTTCAGAAAAAAATATGTCAGTTTTTTAACTATTTTGCCTACAAGTCCGAAATTGCTGAATCTGCCTTCCCAAAAATGTAATCAATTCTTCATTCCGTCAACACAAGTAAAATATTTTTTGAATCATTCAAATCGGATCCTCGGTAATATTTAATAAAACGCCTCCAGCAACAGAAAAACAATTCCAAAAATCCAAAACAATTTAAAACTATTCTGGCAGATCAAATTAACTTATTAAACTACGACTTTTATAACCTAGGTATCTTTTTTTTGAAGAAAATTTTTTCAAAAGAGGTGTTTAAACAAATCCAAAACAATTCAAAACTATGCTGGCAGATCACATCAACATATAAAACTACGATATTTTAACCGGGGTATTCTTAATTTTGGAGAAAATTTATTCAAAAGAGGGCTTTTGCTAAAGGTTGTTTCATACAACTACATAACGATAAATAAAATGACATCACTTCCGTAAGATGCCAAGACAAACGGTTGGTTTTTGGATCTTATTAAGTAATAAAACTATAAGTCAAAATAATCTGGCAACTAGATTTGCGTATGTTAGAATCCTGTTGACAACATACTCCATCTATTAATCATTTTAACTAAAATCTATTAATTAATTTAACAATTTATTAAAATTAAGCAGGAAGCTTTTAATAATTATGTAATAATTTTACAAATGGTTGACTTCAATATGAATAAAAATAGTCTGGTGCATTTCAAAATATTATATATATTTAATTCAAACTTTGAAAACAAGTTTGCATTATTACTAAAGACCCTATTAAATTTTCTGAATATGTTATTATCTCAGAACCCAAGAATTTTTCAAAATATATATTATTACTTAAAAAGCTTCTGTTTCCTTGGCATCCTTAGGAAGAGATGTCATTGCGTTTGTTTATTGTTTTATTGTTATGTAGTTGAATAAAACAACCTTCAGCAAAATGCACTTGGAAAGATTCTCTTCAAAATGATCGGGTTAGAAGGGTTTTATAATCAATTAGATTTGATTAATTTTTAATTATCAATTCATTACGATTTAGTAAATATTTATTACTTAATTTTAATGATTTTTTAAATTATTATTGTCACAAAAACGACAATAGACAGAACATAACGATGCTTGTTTTTTTTGAATGTGCGTTTTGTCAAATGTGGTTCGCTATTATTATTCCACAATGGAATCATCTTGGTTCATTAATTATTCTTTTTATTAAATTAACAAAAATAAAATAGTATAGAATGCAATAAAAGACACACACACATATATATATATATATATATATATATATATATATATATATATATAAATAATGTCGTATGTATACAATTAGTGTTTTAAATGATCCTAAACAGAAATAATGGCTAGTTCCTATAAATTTATTAAATTTATCTTTATAGTTTTATATTTAGTGTTTTGTTGTGAAACTAAATTTTTTATAACAAAAGAAAGTTTAACAAATTCGAATAATTTAACTAATACAAAATATAAAACAGTTTATGATCAAAATTTAAATAATGAAATAGTAAAAGATTATTATTTTAATAATTTAAATAGCAAAATTGCTTCTAAATATAAAACACTTTACAATGAAAGTTTAAATAGTTTGTTTATTTTAAAAAATTATAACAAGCTCAAAAATTTAAATAAAACGATTTCTTTTGATTTTAAAAGTATTTTAAAAACAAATTCAATCGATAGAATAATGAAACCCAAAAAATATATATCAGGAATTAATAAAAGTATAAAAAAAATACAAACACCTGATTATTCACGAATTAAATTAATAAACAGACCAATACCACTAAGTTTTGCAGAGTCATTTCATAAACCATATTTCCAATATTTTGATCATTTACAAAAACTAGAACCCCGATCTGACCCTGCATCCAAATTTCTCCCTTTTCTACAGAAAATTATTAACAAATACATTCCTGAGCATGAATCCTTAACAATAATCTATAGTCCATACCCCACAGTGACCCTAAACTTAGACTCTGACTTTTTGATCAAGAATCTTTCAAAATTCCGAAAAATTCGGTCATGTCC